CGCCAGGGCCGCCCCGGCGGAACCAAGGCAAGCTCCGGCAGCGGGGCGCTGCACCCAGCAGGGGCCAGCCGGGCAGTCCCGGGGCGGGCCCTGCCCTGCCCTGCCCTCACAAGCCAACTCACTCATGGCTTGAGGCAAGTTCCCGGCTCCCGCCAGGGTGAGGCAGAGACTTGGGCCCGAGCTGCGCACAACTCCCTCGCCAGGGCCGGGCCCTCCCGCGAGGCTTTTTATAGGGTCCAGATCCAGATGTCTGTGTCCTGCCGCCACCTCCGAGGTGAGCAGCTCCTGGCCAGCTCAACAGGGAAACCGAGTCATGGCCTGGGACCGCTGTTCTTTGGGTCACCTTAGTTATTAGGGGAGTGACCGGGGGGCCTGTGCATCTCAGGTCACTTGAAACCTCCCTTGCCCTCCCTCCTCCATGCTGAGCACCATGATTGTGGCTGAGGTGCCAGGGAGGGGACAGTGGCACAGCCCAAGGGGGTGAGGACTCCCCAGCACACTTTTGCTTTTCACAGACCCATGTGACAAAGTCCTCTCATGGAAATACACAGTAGTTTGCCAATGACTTCAGCAGGAATAAGAGCAAATACATTTTTATTCTGTTAACAAGAAGTCTCCCTTCCTCCCCCACCAAATACCAACACAACCTGGGATCTGAAAGATCAAGTGGGATCTTTCCTTCTTGCCCATCCCCATGATAGGGTGACCCAGTGGGTTTGGTGGAGATGCAGTTGAAGCAATGCCCTCAGCAGGCGAGACTACATTTTGCAGCTAGCACTTAGTTTAACCATTTTGATGGTCTAACAAACAAGCCAAAAGAGAACCTAACTTGTTTTCTCATGTCTGTGCTGCAGGAAAAATCAGATCGGGAGAAACAGACAGGACTCATACATGCAGGAGCACACTCTATGGAGCAAGATGGTGACTTCTTATAGGCACTTGTCTGTGCTTTTACATTGATTTGGGGATCTAATCAACTTGACAGTGTCCTTTTTTAAGTCTCAGAGGTGGGCTCTAAAGGGAATTGTGCCATGATAGGGCCCAGAGGATAGGAGCTGTAAAACAAATGCAGAGAACAACAGAGAAGATGCTCTACAGAGATTACCAAGAATCCTAAGCTTGTCTGCATCTTTCCAAATACGTGTAAGAAATGTGTACACTGGCACACACCAAGAATAGGAAGAGAAACTGAAGTGATGACACTTGATAAACCAGTAACATGCCTGTGGCTTATGGAATCATTTCCTACATTAAGGAGATCAGCTGGCGATTAAGAGTCCTAGAGGGCACCATACTCAGTCACTCAACACTACCTTCACACTGGTGTCCCTTCAGCTCTCTTGACATTTTCAGTGGAGTCAGTTCTGGAGATCCCTCTTTCCAGATCAAGCATCGGCTCCTCTGTGTTCAGTTTTCCTTCCTTCTGCCTCTGAGCAAAGATCATGGCTCGGAGCAGAGGTGGATACGGCACAAACCGGACAGTTTCTTCTGGCACTGGGGTAAATTTCTTGAAGTCCTCTTCCTCATGTTTGGGTACCAAACGCCAGTCATGGTACATGACCTTGTCAATCTCTTTTACTTCATTTTCTGCCTTGCCTGAGGGAAGACAATAATGAATTAGTAATTAACACCGTCAAACTATATAAGCATATAGAGGAGTCTCCAGTTGGGAATGGCACTGGGTATTTTGCCACTTACACTGTATCTACCACTAGTATATACTCTACTCTCATTCCAGGTATAAACAAGAAGCAAGGGGAACTAAGGGACAGGGCAACTGTGTTGCAGTCCTGACTTTGCAGGTGACTTCCTCAGACATCTAGCTCCTCAACTTCTCCACTCTGCAGAAATGTTGGGGAGTTTAATAATGTTTAAGAGAAACACTGCGAGACCTTCAAATGAACAATGCAACAGTACTGAAGCGCAAGCTTAACTGATAAAGGATGCACTCCATACAGGATTTAAAACAGCATGGAGAAAAGAGAATTTCCCCATTGATCACAATGAAATATTACTTCTGTACCCCAGTGATGACACTGCAAATAGCACTGCTATCCACCTAAGCAGAAACATCAAATGTGTTTATCCACTGAAATTAGCTATGATAAAATTCAAAGATGGAAAAGAACCAATTGCCAAGTCATCCATTTCCCTGCCAGCAGGACATTGTTCACTGTGGTACAATCTCTGTGGCTTTTTCCAGACTACCTTGAAATTACATAAATTATTGCACTTCCTTGTAAAATCATGCCACAGGGATTTTCCTTCTTTGTCCAGTTAGTGGGCTGAGAAGGGGAGAGATTTAGGAGTTGTAAAAGCATAACCGTCTTTTCTCCTTTCCGCTTTATTCCCTGGTTTGGGGCATAACTATTTTCTCTAATCTTGCTTGAGAGACATAGGGCAAGTTCTTCTTTACCTCTGAATGTCAGGTATCCCCAGGCTTTTCCGTGATCCAAATTCTGGAAAGAAAACACATGACAATTCACTGTGATTAGGTAAAGAAGCCTTCCCACTCACAAAGAGGACAAGCTCTCTAAACAGCCTCATCATCTAGCACAGGAGCACAGCCTGCTTTGGGAGAGACGAGGCCCAAAGCTGCAACCTAAGCACCCATTAAGGGCAAGGCCTGCTGCTATTCTCACACCATGACTAAATCGCTCTGTGCCTCTCATTTAGACGCCCATTTAGCAGTGGTCTAGACAGTGCAGCAGTGTTCGCAGGATCTGTTTTACAATCCGTGTTCCAGGTGCCACAATCACTGCTCTGAAGAGCAGGGCAGGTGGCTCCTGGTGTGCCCTGCTGCACAGGACTCCACAGAAGACAATGCAGTGCACAGCCAAACCCAAAAGGCCCCAACTTAGAGCGCCATGGGGATTTGGGAGCCAGATCCTGCAGCGGCCCAGCGGCCCGGGCGAGGGCTCACCTCGGCCGAGTAATCCGCGCAGACCTTGGTGACGAGCCAGTAGCAGGGCTCTTCGTACTGCCACAGCCAGGACTTGCGCGTGACCACGCGGCCTATGCCGAAGAGGGGCAGGCGGGAGAGCAGCGTGAAGAGGCGGCACTCGTTGCGCGCGTCCTCCCAGGCCAGCACGGGCAGGCGCTTCCCGCTGAACGGCCGCCTCATGGTCTCGTAGTCCAGGGCGAAGCGCTGCGAGTCGCGCGGCCGGTTCTTCAGCGCCCGGTATTCGCGGATCTTCTTGGCCATGGCCGCGATCGGCCGGTGCAGCTTCTTGCGGCCCATGGTGGCGGTGGCGGCCCGGCCACGCGCGAGCAGCTCTGGCAACGGCACCGCTTCCGGGGGTCACAAGAAACTCGACCCTCGCGGACACGCGCGTGCTCGGCCCAGGGCGCGGGGTGGGGTGGGGCGGGACGCGGCTACGCGGCGGCCTCGCCGGGCGGAAGTGGGGGGTAGGACGTGCGCGCGGGGCGGATGAGTGGCTGCACCAGGCGGAAGTGGGGGGACCCTTGCGTCGCCCCGCCCAGCCCCGCCTCGCCCTGCCCTGTGCTCGGGTGCTGGCGGCCATAGGAGCCCATGGCGGAACACGGGCACGAGCCGGGTGGGGGCGGGACTGGGACTG